ATTTTTAATTAATTTTTGTGTATGGCATAGGGTAATTGTTTATCTTCATTCTTTTGTATGTGGACATATAGTTTTCTCCACACCGTGTGTTGAAAAGACCATCTTTTCTTTATGGAATGGTTTTGGTACCCTTGTAAAAAATCATTTGACCATATACATGGTTTAATTTCTGTGCTGTGTGTGCTGTTCTACTGTCTTTATGACAGTACCATGCTATTCTGATGACTGTGGCTTTGCAGTAAGCTTTGAAATCAGAAAGCATGAGACCTCCAGTTTTTATTTTTATTTTCAAGACTGTTTTGCCTATCAGCGGTCCCTTGAATTTTGATGTGAATTTTAGGATAGATTTTAATATTTTTGAAAGGAAATGGCATTGGGATTTTGATAGAGATTGTATACCAGTCCATGTACACTGGATGTCTTTCCATTGATTTGCTTCTTTAATTTCTTTCAGTAACACTTTGTAGTTTTTAGTATACAAGTCTTTTACCTCATTGGTTAAATTTATTCCCAATTTAAATATTTATTATATTTTATAATGTAAATCTGTATTTCTCTTCACACAATGCTGTCAGTTGAAAAAGCAGTTCATAATCTCTAAAATATTTATCTACTAGATTTGTTTCTTTTATTTATAAGCAAGATACTATGTCTGTGTTTATTATTTCTTAATTTATTATGTTGCAACCATCCCCTGTGTTGTAAGGTCAGTCACTCTAATAAATTTTTAAGGATAAATAAGTTATTAAAATTTAAAAATGTATAAATGTGGAGCTGATTTTGTTATAAAATATGTCACATTTTTGGACTGCTACATATATTATAAAATAAAACTAACTGAAAATGAATTATTTAAAAAATCATGTAGAGTAACAAAAGGAGTAAATCTCCTTTCTGATTATTGCTATTAAAACTAAATTTTGAATGATAAAATTAATTTTGCTGTGCATTTAGGCTCTTTAATTTTTTTTTTTTTTTTTGCGATACATGGGCCTCTCACTGTTGTGGCCTCTCCCGTTGAGGAGCACAGGCTCCGGACGCGCAGGCCCAGCGGCCATGGCTCATGGGCCCAGCCGCTCCGTGGCATGTGGGATCTTCCCGGACTGGGGCACGAACCCATGTCCCGTGCATCGTCAGGCGGACTCTCAACCAGTGTGCCACCAGGGAAGCCCTAGGCTCTTTAATATTTTAATTGAAATTGTAACTTGGGGGAAAAAAGTTTTTTATGATGGACTTCGCAGAGAACCATGAATTCAACAAGTACAAAAAAAAAACAAACAAAAAATTTCTATGTAGACATACATCACAACTATGCAAATCAAATGCAACTCCTTTCCACAGTTTAGTTTTGCATCATGTTAATTGAAGAGAATATGAAAAGTAGAGTCTATCAGTAGGAGAAAATTTTAGAATATTTCTAAAAAGTTAGTAAGATAGTTTCAAGGTCTTTTTTTTTTAAGATAACAGGATAGAGGAGAAATGGAGCAAGACCAGCGAACAGAAAGAAGCAAGACGATACAAATAGTAAAAAAAAAAAGAAAAATATATAAGAATAAATTGGAAGGGAAAACAAAAATAGAGAAACAGTAAAAGTGAGAAGTAGAAGGGTATAAATGAAAGTATCAGGAAAAAAAATAGATTTCAGGAGAAAAACTGAGAATATAATATCTACAACCAACTAAAAAGACATAGATATACACAAACATATGGAAAGCTAAAAGCAGGAGTAAATCATTAAGGAAGGGAGAGAGAAGAAGGGAGGGGAGGGGAAGGGAGGGAAGAAAGGATTCCAAAAGGGAATATGCCTTTTACCTGCGAATTGACTACATTGAGATGGTTACCAAACCATCATATAAGAGACAAGCATTAGCTCAGAGGACAAAATTGACTGACTATGAGGGAATCAGGATGATTTCAAAGAGAAAATATTTAACAAAAATATTCCACGTTATAAGAGAGTTCTCTAGCCACATAGTTGTGATGAAAAATTCTAGGTAGAAGGGGCAGCATATACAGAGGCTTTAGAGGTAAAATCAAATAATGTGGTTTATTAGTCTTGTTTTTTTAGTTTGCAATCTGGTCAGGGTAACTGTCCATTGAGAAAGCCATGTAGTCAGATCTTGCTATTCGAAAAGGTTATCTAGAGGACCTGACCACTTGATTGACCTATGAGCTGGACCCAGGCAATCAGAGCTCCGCACATCTCCCCGTCTTTGAAATGTACCTTCTGCCCACTGTTCCCACAGTGGGAGCTGTTTTCAAGGATGCAGCCTTGAGAGAGCAATGTACTGTTGAGACCATCTGAACAGTATACCTGACTGAACAGAGTAAGGCTTCTGTGTAGACTTTTAAACTTCGGGTGGTTATAGAGATCTACTTGTCTTGCGGCCACCCAAGACAAGTCTCGTATGTAAGTTCCCTTGCTTATTAAACCTGCCCCCTACCAATCTGGACTGGTCTGCCTCTTTCTCCCATCTCTCCTTGCCCTCTCTGTGTGTGGGTCAGTTTCAGATTTCACCTGGGAAGCTCCCAAGTTTGTGAGCGAACACTTCCTGATCATTTTAAGAATTTGGAGCATTATTCTCTATGAACTGGCAGCTGCGTAAGAGGTATTGATAGAGAAAATTACTTGAAACAGAGAGCTCAAATAAAAGATTCTTGCCATTATGTAGGTAAGAGATGATGAAACCTAGAAATATACCATGAAAGCTAGAAATAGCAAAAGGTATTTAAAGAAGGTAGGATCAATGGATAATAAACTGGATATTACAAGTAAACGAAGAAGGGGTGAATCGTATGACTACTAAGTGTTTAGCTTGGCTAACTAGGTGTGCAGTAGTATTTTCTACCTGACTAGTATGACATGAAGAGTAATCTTTCTGTAATGCACTGATTATTTATCTTTCCCACTTAGGAACCCTCAGAGATAAAGTCCAAGCTCCTTTATATAGCATAAAGAACTCATTATCTCTCCAGACACATCTCTTCCATGCCCTTCATACCTCACTCTACACTCCAGCCATACTGAACTATTTCATTTATCCAAATGTGATATGCATATTTCCCTTGGGGCTTTGTTCTCAGTGCCTGGAAATACTCCTTATCCTTTTAACCAAGGCTTACTTGGCCTTTTCTAAATGTTACTTCCTACAAGAGACGATTCCTAATACTTCAAGAATAGTTTAGATATCACTCATACATAATTGCATATAGCCCTGAATTTATCACTGCAATATAGTGCTAGTAAAATTGGCAGTTTCTAAGTGGAGAGAGACATCTGAAATTCTTAAAGTGTGCCTAGTTTAATACTGTAATTATCTATTACATTATCTGGGATGCTCAATGCACATATGTGCAATGTAGTTGGATTTTCGAATCAACTGTCAGTTATTGGATATATTAACTTTTATCTTTTTTTCATTTGCTTTATGTATATTCAGCGCTAAGCACCTTAGTCTTTTTTAAAATGGCAATTGAGAGTCATAAATAGCCTTTTTCCCTTCCTCCCTCCCTTCCTCTCTTCCTTCTCTCCCTTGTTTTTCTTTCATGGTCTTTGAAAATCTGCCAGATAACTATAGTTCCCAACTGGTATGCTGAAGCTGCTTCTTTCCAGCTCCCCTATGTTTTCCCCTCAACAATAGCTACAGAGTTGCCACTTCTGAAGAGGGAGAAGGGCTGGAGGCATTTGCTGTGCTGTGTTCTATTTTGTTTCTCCTATTTCTTCTCCCCTCCACCTTCTTGAGTAAAGTGATCAGCTATAGCTACAGGGTGAATGGAGGAAAAATAAAAATATTCATTTACTTCTTCTGTTGGTTCCCAGGTGATTATATTATCATTGCCTCCCTCACAATATATATATCCCATTTTTGTTGTGGAAGCAACAATTTGTTCATCCATCAAATAATCAGACATAGAACATTACAAAATACCATGTAGAAAAGTATAGAAAGTTAAGATTGGGTATTTTAGCCAGCATTTTAAAAAACTTAACGTATACTCATGGATTATGATGCTTTTTAAATGCTCTTTCTGAAAATGTAAACACTGTTTCATATAGAGGATCCAAATAAAGAAATGGAACTGAAAACTTTGATAACCCTTCTTCCTGTGTTTTGTGTGTTGCTAATATTCCACATAAAGTGTTCTAAGTCTCGAATCCAGAATATTATTAAAATTCTGAAAGAATTTTCTAATTTAGGGGAAATTGTCATATCACAACATATTCAACTGAAACAGAATTCAGAAGTGACTTGTTTTTATTTTTAATAGAAGGGAATAATTTATGTGATGGTTTTATTTGGAACATCTTATTTTCTTTAGGAGGATATTTGGAGTTAGTATTTATGTCTGTGGTCACATATTAGGAATCTGCATTCCCCTTGTTCATTTTTATATAACTTCTGCATTTTAGCTGATGTTTAAAAATGATACACTTCTAAGTGGATCTGCATTACAATAATTGTTAATAAAAATACAATTATTTATGTTCAGTTACTGTGATTTAAAACAAAACCCTCTACATATTATAAAATTCATAAAATGACTTTAGGATGTAAAGAGGATATTTCCTGTACATAAATGATCCTTAAAACTGCAAAAAGGGATACGATTTAATATGTTAACTGAAAACTTTAAATGTTTCTCTCAGATAGAAATGTATATAGCATGATAGTATGGATTCTGGACTGTAGTTTGAAAGAAAGCAACAGTGAAAATGAATTTCATGCCAGTAGACACTTTAAAAACTAGATTTAGCAGCAGTCACATTAGCTTAGATAATGGGAGAATTTTTCTTCATTGAAAATGCTCTGTGTCTCTTAAGGAGAACTTACTGAGGCAGCCTGCCATCTAGCTTTTTCACAGAAAAACAGGCTTACAGACTGCAGATGAGAGAGTCTGGAGCAGCGACAATTTTAACTTAGCCATTCCTAATTTATCTCAAGCATATTCAATTCATCTTCACTGCTCTATGCACACAGGAACACCAGATTGCCTTCCCTGGGGAACAGAATGCAACCAGGGATCTAGAGAGCTGTCACATTCCAAGAAATATTTAAATTGTGCTGATTTTCTTCTGGAGAACTGAGCACAGGGAATGAAACTCTCCATCAAGTCATAGCTTTGCGGGCAATAGATCAGAGGATATTGCCAGTTTTCTAATGGATTGTTGTTATCGGGCAGGTTTTCTCTGAAGGTACGTAGTTATTTTCTCAATTCATTACCCTCTCCCTATTTATCAGGTAATGATCTAATGAGCTGGGGATCCAAACCTGTAAAAAAGAGAGATGTTAAGTAGTCGGTATTGACTAAAGAATGACACCTTATTGCTGCATGTTTATAGGTGAATAATCGGATTCCTTTACTAAAGATTAGTAGGGTATAGTTTGAATTGCATTATCAGCAAAAATAGGCAAAAACAGAACCGTGCTGCAGGCATTATCATAAGTTCATATTAATTCTCTTGAGCATTTTCTTTTGTAGCTGCAATATATAATGAAGGGAAATACAGACTTCAGAAACTCACTTAACCTTATACATGTTTTAATCTTTTTACATAATCGTGATATTTTCTCCGAATGTTCCCAAATACAAAACTTTGTCTCAAATGCTGTTATTAATTTTGGGGTCATTGATGCTTATGATATATGAATATATGAAGGACAAAAGTACTTAAAGAAACTCCAGTAGAGTCTTCAAGAGAATATTATATCAGTGTGCTTTGTTGGCTTTGCAGCTCTTTATTTTTGAGTTTGCAAGCATCTTACTAAAATAAATTGCTATAGTTTAAGTTAAAGGCACATACTATAAAGATGTATTATTCAACTTTGTTCTGTGAAGCGAAAACCTCAATACATCTATAGAAAACACAAAACTATTCACTAAAATGTTAAAAGCTGACAAACTTCTGAATATTAACTGAACCAATACAAATAGAGAAAGCCTTATCCTGACCTGGAATTTAGCTTATTATACCTGTGATATATTGGACAGGAAGGGGTGACTTCTGTGCATGTTTCTTAAAAGTTAAAGATACGTTTGAAGGGCATTGTTCTGTGTCAGAGTAAGTAGGGGTGTAGGACAGAAAGCAAGCACATAGTAGTCACAGTGAGTTTATGAAAACTGAAGAAATATTTTAAAATATATGAGGGCTTTTGATGCTTCTAAGTATTTTATTATTGTGTGAATTCACTCAGTGAAACCTACCGTGGATTAATATTTTTACATGTCAGAAATAACTACTAGGATAGGTAGAACAGCCGGTGCATGTGGCCTGGAGCATGGTGTCTCTGCTGCCGTTTTTGGATTGTTACACAGACTTGGTGGACCCATCAATGGGTTAATCACAGGCTTGGGAGAGGAAATGGTGGCTGAGCTTCATGAAAGCTCTGGTTAAATGTGCTCTAATTTCTTTGGAGCATTTGAGAGACTATTAGAAGAATAAAGGAGACGGAGAAGGACTGAGTCACCCAAATAGTAACTTTAAGTGCATTCTCTCTTATCCTCAGAGGGGTTGTAAAAAAGGAAAAGGAGGAGAACAGAGTCCTCAAAGAGTACTTTTAAGTGCTTCTTTTTTCATGAATCTTACAAGAATTGAGGAACAGGAGCTTAAATTAAGGTTTCCCTATGGATTCTAACATTTTAAAAGCTTTTTCTCTCTCTTATGGAACATTTTTCCCTCCACTCACTTAAGAAAGAAGAAAGTGAGCTAGCTCCCAGCCTGATTTCTTCCCAATAACTTGTAGCTCTGATTTAAATCTACAGAAGTGTGCTTCTGAAACTGCATACACTCCTGAGAGTCTCAGTTTCACAATTCAGTGAGTTATGAATGCCAAAGGATAAAGTGATTTAACACCTTTCTTAAAATTATTATCACAATTAGCTCTTCTGAAAATCTCAGACTATGTGTAAAAGAGGGCACAAGTAGGAAAAAAAGAATAACTTCAGGGAACACACTTTATGTTCTTTCAGAGTAAGATACTACCAGTAGATAATGAAATAATATTCACTTCATGTTTGGGCATGGGGAAGAAATGACAGCAGCTTAGAAATATATCCTTTAATTTACATTTTGGATGTTAGATGAACAGAACAAATATGAAAACCAGGAGGGGCAGTTTCAATTTTCAGATTGCAATAAAATTTTTTATTGCTCTAACCTCCTATTAACTTTTTCTACCACAGTCATGTTAGTGTCTCTTACCTTCCTAGAGGGTTATTCACTTACGCCGCTATCTAAATCTGCTCAGCTTCCAGATCTAGTGCTAAAACTTGTTTTACTTCATCTTATGGTGAGTTCATTGTAAAATATATTACCATAATTTCATTTTTTAGTTGCTGTTAAATATTTAATATTTATTGAGTGCCCATGATATGTTTGGTGCTTAAAAGCAGTATGTAGGAAGAAAATACACAATGATATTTCTCCCAAATCAGCCAGTTTATTAATATTTCAAGATTTCTAATTGGTGCCCACAGAGGAAGGCAATTAAGTCTGACTCTTTAGTAGCTACTTAATGTACATGTAAGGCATGAACAGTCCTATATTCAGTCAATAATTTGCATTCAGCTTTACTGAAGATCCCAGACTAACCATCCAGATGTTTTCAAATTCTCCCTTAACTGTTTTATATGTCAAAGTGTCATTGTAGACAGAACACTGGATTGGGGGTAAGAAAAACTAGGTTTAAATCTGTTAATCAAGTTTGCATAGGTCAGTCATCTCCTCCATACCTCTATCTTGTCAGTGGTATAATTGTGATAATTCTTGTGGGTAGTAAAGATCATGCACATTAAGTAACAAACACATAGTTTGTGCACAACATATGCTCAATAAGCAGTATCTGTTTTTGAACGCATTTTATCATAGTTTCACGTACAGTATGTTCTATTTGAAATCACCTTGACTCTTTCTTTAATGATGTGTATGTATACCTGTGTAATATCACAGATATATTTGTTTAACAGTTTTGGTAATAAAAATAATGTATTGATAATGTAGTTATTGCTTGGCACTAAAGTACTCTGTAGAATTACTAAAGCATTACCCATGCATAGATAAAATTGGAATTTAAGATTAGTTTGAGAAATTAGTTGGCATATTCCCTGTGGCTTTCAAATAGCAAAATTATCAACCATAACTTACCAGGGAAAGAAGATAGAACTATATCTCATTTTTACACTTTTCCCTTCTCCCAAAGGATATGGAAATAGAAGACAAAACAGTAAATCCTCTTGCTCATTATAATGTGCCCTTTGCCCCTTTCATTTGCGTTTTACTTTGCTACAGTAACTTGTCTAGTGAGATGGCCTCAAAATTCCAACTGCACAGGGCTGTTCAAGCATACAAATCCACCCCTCAAGGAACAAAGCAAATATATGAAAACTTTTATTAAAATAAAAGACAGGTTTTGCTTTGAAAAATGCTAAACATTTTTTAATGAAAGTGAAACTGTCAAATGCGAATGTTAAATCCAACCAGATGTTGACCTTAATTGTGAGTTTGAATCTTTACAAAAAGAGTATGCAAATCCAAGCTAGAAGGTGCTTTCTTTAGGTGACAAGACTGCTGAAAAATACTTTGTCTGAATTTCTCAGATACATTTCATATTGAGTGAAGTGTGTACAGAAAACCTACTTTGATATTGTGAGTTATATGGGGAGGGAAATTAAGCATAATACGAGTCGGTCTTATATATCTGTATATATCTGTATTTGTATTGGAATTTGGAAATAAATGTACAAAAGTCTTTTTTATAAAAGAGAACCACCAAGTAATTATTTTGAAAGGCATGACAGGAAAGTATCTTGCACATTCTAACTAGATCAAAATGTGGACACAAAAGCAAGCACCTGCTGAAAAGCTCTTCTTTTTTTGGTCAGTGCCAATCCTGTTTTAAATCTATGAATTTACCTACTCATCAATAAGGAGAAGGTGAAGGTTTGGATATCTGACTTCATTTTCCAAAAGATCCTTGAAGTCCTTGTTCTATTGTTTTTTGATCCCCAACTTTGGATATTTTGGCCCAGTACTTAAGGAGATTAAAATCTGTATTCTAATTCCAACTCAGTTTTCTAATTTGTACAAGTGTGTGTGGGGGGGGATAATATTCATATGGTGGTGTGGAATAAATGAATGTTGCAAATTAGCTTTACAGGGGCTTGTTCATATAAGTACAGTTGATCCTTGAAAAACATGGGTTTGAATTGCACAGGCCCATTTATATGCAGAATTTTTTCAATAATAAATACTACAGTACTACATGATCCATGGTTTGTTGAATCCAAGGAAGTGGAACTGAGGATATGGAGGAACCTTCCTCCATGTATTTGAAAGGCTTAACTATATGTTATATGCAGATTTTTGATTGCTTAGAGGGTTGGTGCCCCTAACCCCCAAGTTTTTCAAGGGTCAAATCAACTATGCTAAAAAATGTTAATAAGTATTATTGTTTTTCTTATGACATCACCTTCTCCATGCCCACTTCTGATATTAGGTTTCCTGTATTCAGTTTGATCTTCAGACCACCTTTCGAGGGGGATCCCAGATTTGTGCTCACCTACATACTTCTCCTACCTATGGTTTCCTCCAAGTAAATTGTCTTATTTACTGAGCCCTGCCCCTTTGACCTAACCTTAAACAGCTTAGCCACAGTCCCTTGAGGTGTTTTTTTTCTCAGCAAATTCTTAATGGGAAAGTGATATCTTTAAGCTTAGTAATTCTCTCCTTATGTCTGTTGTGTATTGACAAACTAATAGGAAAGGAGACACAAAGAAAATACTGGTTAACTTGTGGCAGATATAACCTCCTCAGCCTTCTAGAGCAGAGGCTTTCTTCTATGAAAGGCCTACCAATAAGAGTTATGAGCTGAATTGTCTCTCCCTAAAATTCATATGCTGAAGTCCTAACTCTTAGTAACTCAGAATGTGACTGTATATGGAGATAGATCTTTTAGAGAGGTAATTAAGTTAAAATGAGGTCATTAGGGTGAGTCCTAATCCAATATAACTGGTGTCCTTATAAGAAGAGGAAATTTGGACACAGATATGTACAAAGGGAAAACCATGTGAAGATCCTGGAAAAAGACGGCCATCTATAAGCCAAGGAGAGAAGCCCCAGAAGAAAGCAACCCCCCTGACACTTGATCTCAACTTCTAACCTCCAGAATCGTGAGAGAAAAAAGATTCTGCTCCTTT